ATACTTCCATAAACAAGATTCAAGTGTTGGATACAATACTACACACTTAGATAATCAATACAATGTAAGAAAATAAAGAAATGAATACAAATGAGTAAGAAATTCTTAACCACAATCTTCAAATCTTCAAGACCCAAGTGTAAGTGCATAAACCCTAGCTTCCAACCTTGTTCTCTCTAGTGTTTAGAACTTAAAATATGCCAAAAGATATCTTACAAATGAGCTAAGTTGCACATTAAATGGTTTGGGGCCAAAAAATGGGAGATTACATAATTGCCCAGAACTGAAGCACGATGTTCGCATTTGCAAACACAAGTTTGCATTTGCGAACTATGACCATACTGTTGACTTTTGCATTTGCAAAGAGGACTTCGCATTTGCGAAGGTTGACTGCCCTGGTTGACTTCGTATTTGTGAAGTCTTCTTTGCATTTGCGAAGACTGCCTGATCGGTCTTCCTTCGCAATTGTGAAGGTCCACTCGCAATTCCCATGGCTGCTTTGTTCGCATTTCCCATATATATGACGCAATTGTGACAACTGAGGCCCCTTTCCAGATTTTTTTCTTTTTAGCTTCTTTTTGACTCGTTTCACTTGGTTTCTTCAAGATCACTTCTAAATCACATAGAACCTGTAATATAGAAGTAAATCATTAAACACATGATTTTATCACTCAAACATAGCAAAAATGTAGGCTTAAAAACAAGATAAGTTGGTATACCATTTGTGATTGAAGAAACGACGTCGAAACATAAGAAAAACGAGCACAACACAATCCAAACATATCTGAAACTCACCGAGCTACTCGGGACCCCGTCTAAACATACCAAAAAGTTCTGTAGCATAATACGGACCAACTTCAGGCCTCAAAACACACATAACAATATCGAAACGACGAAATGCACCTCAAATAAAACTTAATGAACTTTCGAACTTTCGCCTTCCAAAACTCATGCCGAAACATATCAAATCAACTCAGAATGAACCCAAATTTGCACACAAGTCATAATACATCATACGGAGCTATGCGTACCCCCAAACTACCGAGCAAAGTGCAAATGCTCAAAATGACTGATCGGGTCGTTACAGGTTTTCGTGGTTTGAATTGTTAATTTGACTGTGCACATTGAGTATTTGGTACTGATATGGTGGGATCAAGTCGCACGCTATAACAGATGAAATAAGGGTGGATTGATATGGTGGAATAAGGGTGAATTTATACTGTACGGTAGGATCGGGTTGCACACCGCAACAAGTGGAATAAGGGTAGATTGATATGATAAAATAAGGGTGAATTATGATACTGATATTGATATATGGATGGATCAGGTTGCGCTCCACAACATATATATATTATTTACTGTTTTTGATGTTATTACGGTGAAATAAGGGAGAATTATGTGTTGTACAATAGGATTGGGTTGCGCGCCGCAACAAACTATATGTTTTTATTCCTTGAGTTGTGTGGGTTTTCGGTATTTTCCTTTGGAACTATAAGGATTTGGTAATTCTAAATGACACTGGCTTATGTCTTAAGGCTGTAACTATTATTTTTAGTTGACTGTCTTATTTCGTTCTGTATTTTTATTTTTCTCTTTATTATATGTTGCGTACAGGTTGTAGTGTAGGTGACCTGCCTTAGCCTCGTCACTACTTCGTCGAGGTTAGGATCGGCACTTACAGAGTATATGGGGTAGGTTGTACTCATACTACACTCTGCACTTCTTGTGCATATTTTGGAGTCGATCCCAACGGTAGTTATTAGTGAGTTTGGATTGGACAAAATTGAGGTACAACTGATCAGCACCCGCAACTACTGGAGTCCCCTTCTCTTTTTATTTAGCTATTTACCTTCTTTTCAGACAACTTTATGTTATTTCATATCCTTAAATGTACTATTCTAGTAGCTCGTGCACTTGTGATACCGGGTCCAAAGATTTTAGCAGTTGTTTGGCTGTTATAGCTTCCACATTTTTACTTTGGATTTCTGCAATTATTTCAGTTCTTCTCTTCATTTAATTTACACTGTTAAAAATGGATAAACTGTTCTATCGTTGGCTTTCCTAGCACGTGAAATGTTAGGCGCCATCACGATCCCGACGATGGGAATTCCATGTCGTGATAAGAGGAACAACTCCAACAAAGGGGATCAAAGAGGAATCAAAGGAAATGGAAGTAAAAAATATATTAAATCAAAAACATACGATTATGTGAAATTGAAATGACCATTTAAAAAAAAATCACATTAGTAGTTGAAAAGATAATAACTATTGAGTGTGCGAATAAATTCCCACATTAGTAGTTGAAAAGATTATGAGCCTCCTTATAAGGTGAAATAATTTCTTGTTGGTGTGAGGTCTTTTAGGAAAAATTGTTTGGCTTGACCCAAAGCGAAAAATATCACACCACTTCGAGCTAATTGAGCTCAACAATTGATATTAGAGCCCAGGTTCAGTGAGACAAGTATGACAATAGCAGAGTGATGGTCCTGGCTCCTTTTGCTTACCCTTACGAGCTTAGAGATAGGCACACAAAAAAAGCTAGTTGCGGTTTTTGATTGCCATAAATCCTCTAACAATGTGGGTGGCACATAATGAATCTCGAAAATTAACCTGTAGATTGCCACGTGGAACTTAGTTTGAATGAGCGATTGTTGGGTGTGCAAATAAAGTCTCGCATTAATAGCTGAAAAGATTGAAAGCTTACACATAAAGTGTAAAGATCTATTAATGGTATGAGGCTTTTTAGAAAAAATAATGTGAGCTTGACCCAAAGAAGACAATATCACTATGATATTAGGTTGACTTAGCCCAACAATATCGAATGTTAAATCGGCCTTGATATAAGAAAAGTTTATTTAGTACAGCAAAAAAGGTGACTATTTTTTCCTTGAGGAATTTTTATAAAATGCTATAATTTAGAGCGTAGTAACTATCGTTTACCTAATTACCATTCATATTTACAATTCAATTATTACTAACTTGTATAACTTGTATTCAAACACGCAGCGAATATAACTTGTGTCAACCGTATTCGTTTGTGCAATTGTATTCATTCGCGCAACGAATACAACATATAGCAACTGTAAACAATGCAAATACACGTGTGTATACAAAAAATACAAGTTATATATGCCAGGGTGTATCGACTGTATTCGTTGCGTATACAACCAAGGTAAAATAAAGAAATACATAAAAAAATATAAAATGCTCTTGTTGAAAATTGAACTCAAGACTTCCGCTAACTTAGCGAGCGCTTTAACCAACTGAGTTGCATGAGCTTGTTGCTCTTTTGTTTCAGTTCAAAACAATTAATCTCTTATATCATGAATTTGCTATAAAATTCAAATATATCTACGAATGATAAAAAATTTCTTAAAGTATAGCCACGAATGATAAATACAATATATATATTTGATGTGTCAGCATAATTGTTTTCCTCTTTTTCTTTTAGGTTATAGTTTGGAATCCATACCTCCGAATTTGCTGGAATAATAGATGTGTTGTTTTCCCCTTTTCCTCTCAAATTTTTTGGCTTCACTAATTAAAAGCCCCAATAAATAAAGAAAACATTTTGATCAGGATTCTTATCCCTTGGAATCCAGAGGTCTTTTAGGCTTTTGTGGTGATAAAGGACATCCTTTTTCATCTATTCATATGATTCATAGAATAGCATATGTGGTTTTAAAGAAAGAGGCATCGTTTTTCATGTTTAACTTAAAAAACTCGTAGCATATGTAGTATATCTTCTGCATTTTGGGCTGATTTACTGTATAGATTTTGACTTTATAAAAAGAGTCCAAATATATCTCTTGAAAAATTATTCCTTTCCGAGAATGTTAGATTCTTATCGCTCATATAATTTTCAGTTTGAAGTCTAATATTTGCAATAACTTATAAAATGTTAGATTGTGATCTAACATTTTCTCGTAAGATTTTTAGTTTGTTCAAAAAAAATATTTAGATTGCAGTCTAAAGGTTCATCAATCGCAAGAAAAATAATAATAATAAAAAAAGAATTATTCACTAAACAAACTGATACAAAAAGAAACACCCGACAATAATAAGAGAGTATTTTGCTCATTCATCATCTTTCACACCCCAAAAATGCAATAGGTTAAGAGAAGCCTAGATCTAGATATCATATTTTCGAACAAAGATTTCATAATTTCGTTTGTTTAAAATATAATTAAGTAATAAAAAGTATGTGCTCTCGTACAAACTTAAACTTTAAGAAGAGATGATGACACACTCTTTAGAGCTCATGCCTAGCACCTTAATTCGGTTTTATTATAGAAGAACTTAGACTATTTAAATTGGTTATAAACCAACAAATTTAATTTTGGCAGTTACAAATTATAAAAGTAATAATATATATCACTTAATCATGATTAAGCAAATAAATATCCGAATGAGAGACAAATTTTTCATTCATTAGCTCAGTGTAAATATCACTAAACATCAGGGGTGAGTTTTTTATAGAATGAGTGACATGAGATCTTTACACAAATAGCCGGCCAGATTTACCGTTTACTTTTCCGAACTAGAATATACAACAACAAAGTACAAACTCAGTGCAATCCCATACGTGTTGTTTGAGGAGGGCAGTGTGTGTGCAGACCTTACTCCTACCTTATGAAAATAGAGAAGTTATTTGCGGTAATACACATATTATACACCGATTATAAACAGTTATATACAAATTATACACGAATTATATATATTACACATCCGCCAGTTGGATGAACGGCTATCTAAGTTAGTTATTCTTTCTAGGGAGGCTGTTATTACCATAATCCATGCATGGCTAAAGGTTCTGTCTATTTTTGCAACTCGTAGTTGATCAGAATATGATTTTTCCATAAGAGAAAAGCTTTAAAAAGTTTAGATTCTTATGATTGTAAAAAAAGACATAACATATATAAATAGCAATAGCTACCTCCTCCTATACTCATGTAAGAGAAAAATTGAGATAAATTTGTAAAAAATTCCACACCATCAAAATGTCAAGACTAGATCCTTTAATAGTATCTGGTGTTATAGGAGATGTATTGGATCCATTTACAAGGTCTATAGACTTTAATGTTGTTTACAATAATAGGATGCAAGTCTACAATGGCTGTGGTTTGAGGCCTTCACAAATTGTCCACCAACCTAGGGTTGACGTGGGAGGAGATGATCTTCGCACTTTTTACACTCTGGTAAAGTTCTTTTCTTTCTTCTTCCTGTTTCGCCGTAATTGATAAAGTTGATACCATATGACCTCACGGGTTCGAGCTGCGGAAATCGTCTCTTAAAGAAATGCAGGGTAAGGCTGCTTATAATAGACCTTTGAGGTCTGACCCTTCCTCGGACTCCGTTCATTGCGGGAGCTTAGTACTGCTCTTTAGTCTTAGAATAACGTGTTTCCTGTAACCTATATGGATCACGAGTTTGAGCCATGAAATTAGTCACCGATCGTTGTACCAGAGTGCCACCTCCTTGGGGTGTGAGCCTTCTGCGTACCCTGCGTAAACGAGGAATGCTTTGTACACCAGATTGTACTTTATTCTGTCTCTTCTTCCTTACTAGCTACTCCATAAGTGAATATAGTACTCCTTTTGTTTCAATTTATATGTCGTAAAGTTCTTTTCTTTCTTCTTGCTTTTTGTCTCTTTTTTTTCCGGGAGTCTTGGAATAAGTTACTATATAACCTATATGATTTATGAATCACGAGTTTAAAAGGCTAGCCCGGTGCACAAGGCATTCCGTGTTTATACAGGGCCCGGGGAAGGACCACACCCAAGAGATGTGATGTAGACAACCTAACACAAGGCATCACGCGTTCATGCAGTTCTTTTCTTTCTTCTTGTTTGTCTCTTCTTTGACGGATTGGAATCTTGAAACGACGGTAAAGTTGTTTACATGTAACCTACATGGATCACAAGTTTGAGCCATGAAATTAGTCACTGATCCTTAAGGAGGTAGCTACTCCTTGGGGCGTGAGTCTTCTTCAAGCTCTGCGTAAATGAGGAATGCTTTGGGCACCATATTGTACTTTTTTTGTCTCTTCTTCCTTACTAGCTACTCCATAAGTGAATATAGTACTCCTTCTATTCCAATTTATGTATCGTACTTTTCTTTTTAGTCTGTTCCCAAAAGAATGTCATACTTTTTTATTTAGAAATAATTTAATTTTAAACTTCTGACTTTACCCTTAATGAAAGAATTTACAATCACATAAATATTTATATGGTTTATATTTTAAACCATAAGTTTTAAAAGTCTTCATTTGCTTCTTAAACTTCGTATCAAGTCAAGCAACACCAAAAAAATCAGAACAGAGGGAGTAAAATTATTTTGATAAACAATATAATGGTGCTTAGATTCCCCCTTTTAAATTTAGATTTAGATATATATAATGGAGTATATGCAGAAAGTCGAAGTATTTTTACACTATCAGTTCACGTAAAATATATTTATAGATAACCATCCGTACATGCATAATAGAGAAATCCTTAATGTATTTTTACACCTTAATTCTTAATTTGGTGTTGGTTTCAAGATACTTGAAATCCTCTATGTTTTTTTTGGAAGGTTATGGTGGATCCAGATGCTCCAACCCCGAGCAATCCAAACCAGAGGGAGTATCTCCACTGGTAAAATTATGATCCATCTTTTATTTTTTCTTTTCTTTTTGTTAAAAGAGAAAAATATTCTCTCCTTTCCAATTTACGTGATAGTGTATAACTTCGCATGAAGTTTAAGAAAAATAAAATAAAATTGTCGTCGAAAATAAGTCATAGAATTTTTGTGACTATAAATCGTCATAGAATAAAATACACGTTTAAAATTAAATTAATATTAAATATAAATATAATTTAAAAAGCTCCAAACTTATTTGGGATTAAGACATAGTCATAGTAGTAGTAGTTGTTATCGTATTAAAAATAAAATATTATTTTTTTTGCATGTGCTAAAAAGGAAAAAATTATCAAGAGAATAATATTCTTAGCTTTGGAATGAATCACACTTTAAATTAAATGTACTTCACTGAGAATAATATCCAAACCTTTACAGTTGTACTTCACTGAGAATAATATCCAAACTTTTACAGTTAAACTTCACTGAGAATAATATCCAAAATTTTGCGTAGGTGTATTATTACATGCAAACCTTCAAACAAATGTATTATAAAATTTTGGCTGAGTTTGGTAATTAGTTGTAAAAAATTTGAACTTTTTATATATGATCTAGTGCTTCATTTTAAAGATTATTAAGTCTTACTATATGTGAAAAAGAAAAAAGAATATTAATCATGACTTTCGTTTATTAATTTTGCTTAGGCTGGTCACAAATATCCCAGCAACCACAGGAGCACACTTCGGTAAGTTTTCTTACACAAAAGATTAATCATGAATCATGTTCAGTCCTAAAATATTTGTAAATTTTTTATCTATATTCAATATTTACGACCAATTAATAAATAATTAAAGACATTAAGCGGATTTTTCTCAGATAAAGTATAATTTATAATACCCGGTAATTACAAGATGGTGGAGGTAGGATATTAACTAGGGGTATTATTACTTTTAGCCCGTGCCAAAAATTATTTACATTCAGTAGCCGAAAAGTATATAAAATTTGTATAATTTTTATATATAACACACATACTGTATAGATATACAAAAAATATTAAAAAAAAATCGGTTATTGTTTCGAAAGCGGCTATACAGTGTCATTTTTCCAAATTTTTATTACGCAGGTTCATTATATATATATATATATATATATATATATNGTGAGATTATTAGTGATTCTATTGTTATACTCGGTTATTTTAATATAACAAAACAATAATTTTATGACTCTTGTTATAATTCCTAACCATGAGTGAATTTAACCGGCATTTCTATTTTCGGACAAGAAATATGTTACATATATGTTTATATCTAACCAAAAAATGGGGAGAGGCAGCAAAAGAGATTAATTTTGCATATATGTACATACAAAAAAAGATCTTTAAACAAATAACCGTCGGATTTATTGTATACAATATATATATGTCGACTATTTTTAGTTTATGGTGGATACTGCACTACAGGGAATGAAATTATACAATACGAGAGTCCACGACCTTCATTGGGAATTCATCGCTATATTTTTGTGCTGTTTCGACAATTGACTCGAGATGTTGTGAATGCTCCTGATATAATTGATTCTCGTGAGAATTTTAACACAAGAGACTTTGCAAGGTTTTACGATCTCAATTCGCCTGTTGCTGCTATGTACTTCAATAGCAATAGGGAAAGTGGTACTGGTGGCCGTCACATATAAATAAGTTTAACTTATATATATCGCTAGTGTACGGAATTTTACAATATCGAGTCACATTTATGGTTCAATTAAATCTCATATTTTAAAGAAATATTTTGGGTGATTTGATAGTGTAAAAATATCTTATACTGACGGTATATATAATTTAAATTCAAAAAGAAATAATGTTGTAATAATATGTCCCCTCAAAAAGAAATAATGTCTAAGTAATAAGTCTCCTCAAAATTTTACTGGATGTCAACATGAGGAGTTTACGTGTTACAAAGTTACATGTAAAAGTATTGATGCTCATATTTATTTTTAATTAAAGGTGTATCTTATTATAGAACTATACTTCAGTTATTCAATTTTACGTCTTAACTTTTATGTTTCTCGGTGGTTTTGATTAAACTTTGGAGGCTTGAATAGAGTACTTTATTTTTCTCTATTTCTTGATTTCTATCCTTTATTTGATTAAATAAATTGTTGGTATTTTCGTGCCATGAGAAACTCTATATAATGTGTTACGATCCGAAAATTTCATTCGTAGGATGTCGTGATGGCGCCTAGTCTTATGGACTAGGTAAGCCTAGCACTTACTGAATTAGTGGCAATTCAACATATTTTCTTTTTCAAATATGAAATAGAAGTTTTCTACAATCCCAAAATCAGTAGTACAAGCCACAAGCTCTACAAAGTTTACTAGAAAATCTCTAAATACAACTGTTCCAAAGTAGAATCAATAGTGCAAGAAAATATCAGAAGGTGACTCCAAAACCTACGAACGCGACAACAGGTAAACCTTGAGTCTCCACAACAATGCTCGATCAACTAAGAAGAATATATCAAAAACTCTGGGGGTATCTGGATCTGCACAAAAGATATGCAGAAGCGTAGCATGAGTACATCGCATTGATACCCAGTAAGTATCAAGCCTAATCTCCGTAGACGTAGAGTAGTGATGAGGCCAGGTCAGAATACCTACCAAACATATGAAATTGTACAATATGTTACATGAAGCTAACCATGAAAAAGTATCAGTGTAAGGCCAATAATAGAAGGATTTCTAATACAAATCAACAATAAAAATACGGAAAAGGGCCTAAAATGCCCCTAAACTATCCGTTTTGGTACAATAATGCCTCCATCCACCTATTGGGCTAAATATGCCCTTCCGTTAATGTTTTTGGCTCACAAATGCCCTTTGAGTTAACGGAGGACCGTGTCATCCTCCTGTTGGCCCATTCCAAATATTTCTTAATTAATCAAAAAGACCCAGTATTCATACCCGAAAAATAATTTTCTAAAGCAATTTTTCTAAAACTTTTTTTTACTAAAAACTGAAGAAAAAAAGGAATTATTTTTACAGTTTTTACAAAAAAATAGATTTTTTTACTAAAATAATGTTTTTGTAAAAAAAAAATCTAAAAAGCAATTTTCTAAAGCAATTTTTCTAAAACTTTTTTTTACTAAAAACTGAAGAAAAAAAGGAATTATTTTTACAGTTTTTACAAAAAAATAGATTTTTTTACTAAAATAATGTTTTTGTAAAAAAAAAATCTAAAAAGCAATTTTCTAAAGCAATATTTTTGAAAAAACTGGAAAAAAGTAGATATTTTTTGCTAAAATCAAAAATAAATAAAAAAATCCAGTTTTTAGAAAAATATTTCTTTAAAAAACTGGAAAAAAATCCATGTTTTTTGATGTGCATTGGTCCTATGTTAACCATTTATATACACAGATTACAAGCTTCCATAAAAGCAGAAAACGATTCTATAATGTTTGTTCTTTTGGTTCAATATTTTCACGTTATGGCTTCCAAAAAAAATCCAACTTCGCAAAAAAGTGGATTTTTTTTTATTTTGATTTTTGCAAAAAACATCTACTTTTTTACATCTACTGATTATTTTAGTAAAAAAATCTATTTTTTTTTTTGTAAAAACTGAAAAAAATATCCTTTTTTTTTCTTCAGTTTTTAGTAAAAAAAAGTTTAAGAAAAATTGCTTTAGAAAATTATTTTTCGGGTATGAATAATGGGTCTTTTTAATTAATTAAGAAATATTTAGAATGGGCCAACAAGAGGATGACATGTGTCCCTCCGTTAACTCAAAGGGCATTTGTGAGCCAAAAACATTAACGAAAGGGCATATTTGGCCCAATAGGTGGATGGAGGGCATTATTGTACCAAAACGGATAGTTCAGGGGCATTTTAGGCCCTTTTCCGATAAAAATAATGAGAACATGGATGACATCGAGCAAACAATCAATCAATTGAGCAACAACACATTCAGAGTAATAATATAATACAAAAATGGAACGACATCACCCTCGTGCTTTTACTCTCATCCTTACCATGAAATGATGAATAATTTAAATACAATTAAGCACAATTCCAACTTGAACATAGCAAAATGTCAAATGAGTTATTAAGACAATTTAGGATTTAAATAAGGTAAAATAGTGGAGAGGTTGTGAAAATTGAATATTAATTGAGTTTAGTTTAGAAGTTTATGAGATCCAATATAATATATTGTATTTATACAAATTAAGACATTTAATCAAATTTTAACGAGATAAATATAAAATTTATTAAAGTAAAAAGTAATTATAAATTTTCACATAAATTACACGACAATAAAATAATAAGTTGAGGTATCAATTAGAGTAAAAGTATATGTCATGACCCAATTCAATTATAGGCAATGAGAGGGCCCAACACCATTGTTAGACAAGCGAACACTAATCAAACTAGTGATTTCCCATTTAAATAAATTACTAAGTGCATAACATGTCCTCATCTATTTAAAGATTTGCAAACATAATATAATTAAACGGAAGCAAGTGAGTACAAATCGAAATCATGTAAACAAATCCAAAACTATAAGTCTACTAGTGTGTGTGTCAAGACCTGATGTCACAAGTATGTGGAAATCTAGTAGAATATATAAAAGAATTCCAGTCTACTGTCTGAAAGAAAATATAGAGAAAAATATAACATAAAGAAGACTACTGCTACAGAACGGTTCAGAAGGTAGCTCACCGTGAAGTCTCGAAATGGAGATCAAATCTGCGCGCCAGACTGGTGACTAGATGCACCTGCCTCAAATCATGTACAATTAAGTACAAAAGTGTAGTGTGAGTACATAAAAATATGTACCCAATGAGTATCTAGTCTAACCTCGAAGAAGTAGTGACGAGGGGTCGATTCCGACAGTTACTAAGGGCCAACAATATGATAATATGAAATTCTAATTAAGCATGATATATAATAATAACAATAAAACTCAGAACAAGAAATAATTGAACAATTCTTTCACCATATTTATGAAACCAAATCACTTCCTTCATTTAAATAAATGATCTCTCAAACCATGAATTTAGACAAATTATAGAAAGAGACTTCTAGCTCTATTATCACACACGAATTCCGCCGAGGACGTTCGACTCGATCAAACATAAATGTAAACTGTGCACTGCCGAGGATCGAACGACACGAACCATAGATGCATCTATTAACCTGCTGAGGCGAACGACCTGCTCCCATGAGAGTAGTAGAAAGAATTACTCTGCTCACAAAATTTACTTGCGACGCAGTCAAATATAATTTATCAATAAATGATAACCCTTTCTTGATTCTTTTCAAAATAAAGACAATTCAACTTGAAGTTTTTAAATTCTTAAAAATCCTCAATTTAGTTCCATTTTATACAATTAACGAATATAATCAAATAACAGTGTCCACAAAGCATGGTGCAAATCTATGATTACCCGGACATAAACAGGAATAGTAGCTACGTACGGACTCTCGTCATTTCGTGCGTACGTAGCCCCCGCAAATAATAAAACATTTTTAGTTAATTTCACCTATGGGGTAAATTTCCTCTTACAAGGTTAGAAAAGAGACTTACCTCGTATCAAAGCCTACATCCAAATTCAAGAATGCGCTCAAACCATCAAATCGGAGCCGAACAATCCAAAACTATTCAAATAGTGTAAAAATTAATCAATATATGTTCAAAAGTTTATATCCTAACTATTTAAGTGATTACCCAACCCTAAATTTAAGGTTTCTAAAATTCACCCCCGGGCCCACGTGCCTGTATTCCAGAAATATTTCAAGAAAGTTGATACCCATAACTTTAGGAACATAAATATATAGTTTTCACTAAGTTTCATAATCATTTTCGTGGTAAAATCTCGTTTTTATCAAAACCCTAGGTTTTTACCTAAACCCCTTATTTTCACTAATTTACACATTATAATCTACCCATAAACTATGTATTTAACTCACATTGTATAGGAATGTCACGATCCCTAACCCGGACCCGGTCGTGATGGCGCCCCTCGTGAAGACAAGGTCAGCCGATACTTCCCATTTTCCAATTTATTAACAGTTAAGTATTTAAGAAACAGTCTAAACATGATAAACTAAATCCAATAATAACAACGATAACATGAATACGCGGAAGAAACACCCATACACAGCCCTAACCTAGGTGTCACTAGTCATGAGCATCTATAAGTCATAATACAATACTGCTAAATCCATAGCTAGTACAACAGTCTGAAAGGAAATAGAAGCGATAAAGAAGTAGAGACACAGGGCTGTGGACGTCAACAGCTACCTCGTAATCTCCGAAAGTCCGAATGAAGCTGGAGGAATCAGCACTCGGGAGCAGAACCAGCTACGCCTGAATCTGCACACAGGGGTGAAGGGAGTAAAGTGAGTACTCCAACTCAGTGAATAACAAATGTAAATAACAACTGAGAGTAAAAAAACACGTAAGGCACAAGGAATTCCATAATGAAGTAGTAAAACCGTTTAAAAGCAGTAAAACAGTGAAAAGCCAAGAAAAATCCTCTTTCAACAAGTAAACAAGTAATTGACAGTCAATTATGGAAAGTAAACACATAAAGGTTCGCCTCTCGGGCACAATATCACCATATCCGCCCCTCAGGCAACATTTCAGAACAATAATAGCCCCTCAGGCTCAATCTCACATCACAATGGGTACCCGCGC